GAGAAATCGGGCCCGGAAGGAAGCGAGTTTTTAAAGGTTTTTGATGCGATAAAAATGTGAAAATAGTGAGTTATGATGTGAAATAGGGTTCGTTGGAAAGCTTGTAACGCCTACTATCATGTGGGAACATAATTCACTATTTTCACATTTTTATCGAATCAAAGACCTTTAAAAACTCGCTTCCTTTCGGGCCCGATTTCTCGGGCCCCATGCACCTTACCAAAATGAGACATAGTTCGTCGTCTTCAGTTCATAGAGATCTTTAATTTGGTATACATATCGACCCCATATTGGACTGCTGGGAATATAGGCACAGCGCTCATATCTATTTGGCCGCCCTCTTTACTTCAATGAATCAAGTTTCAACGGACATACATGCGGCAAACACTTTGTATTTGCTCTATTATCAATGTTCCATGCTAACATCACTTAACATATTTCTCTAAAAGTATATAAATATATAAAACCTATGCAAGATATAAGAAAAGTTTTTTGTAGTGTTCTCACGATCGCATCCCTGTAACGCATTTTACATTTTCTCAAGCATTTCTAAGCTGCCTACATTTAACGTATATTTATTCTATAGCTACGTTTCGGATTTTCTCTAAAAATCAAGCAAACACCGAAAATTTATGGTTAACATTATATGTACCATTGTAGTAGTATTCTTTCAGTACTCTGACAATGAGTACGCAAACGCAGCTTGTACTTGACAAGTTCTCACACTCGATAAATCTCTTTTAGGATCATTAGTCACGATTTTCACTATGGCCTGTATGAAATGTCCATTTTAAACGTCTTAGAAAAAATTTAAACGTTTTCCTAGGTTAGTAGTCTCAGGTAGCTGAAATACAGACTCAAGTATTTTAGATATGCAGCGAATTAACATTAGTACCAAGGACGGAAAACGAAAGACCAAGTTCGAAGAACCCAAAAGACAGGCATTTAACGCGTTCCGAGAAGCGAAAATAGTTTTTCCATTCATGAACTGATCTTTTAAAACTACAATATTAAAATACATAATATTAATCGCATTTCGTGCATTTAAATAATTAATTATCGTTGTTCCTGAAAACTTCAATTAAAATATAATTATATAGATGTATAGCTATATACAGTATAGTATATAATTTATTCGAATATTCAGCATTATAATTCTACCGATTTTATTTCAACTATGTTTGTGTTTCTTTTCTTATATCAAAAATCACATTAGACAATCGTTAACGAAGTTTTACGTGCACGGAAAAAAAGGATTTGTTGCAACAGCAAACTAATTCGCTACATATGAATAGTTAAACATAATTCGTTGTATTAGCTACTTTTTCTTTATTGCAGGAACCTATTTATTTCCTATGATAACAAAAAAATTTGCTCCTACAGTAAGAAAAGTAGTTAACGCAAATTTGCTAGAGATGGACAACTAAACATAATTTACTGCTTTAACTACTTTTTTATTACAGAAACAGATTTCTTGTTATCCTAGAAAAGAAATTGGCTCCTGCAGAAAATGGCTAATACAAGAAAAAATGGCTAATACAAGAAAAAATGGCTAATACAACAAATTGTGTTTAGTTGTCCATATGTAACAAATATTTTTCCCGTGTGTGTTTGCTTGAATCTCGCGCTAATGTAAATCTACATTTTGAACATCGAATCGGCCTTCAGTTTCGCTTTCAGTTGCATTAGTGAACACATTAGGTTATTCTTTGTGATCATTAATCGAGAGTGACTCATTTTCTTGTAGAAAAATTTTTTACGAAGCGAAATAAATTTCTCTCTCTTTCTATCTATATAACCATTAGATACAATCAATTTGCCGTTAGTAGAATCATATTAAATAATCGCGGGCAAAGTTTTATGTATCTCTACTCGAGTTTCACACTCGTGAGATCTTCATTTAGAATATCAAATTATCTTTCAATCTCGCTATCAGTTCTATTAATGAACACATTAAGTTTTTGCTTGTGGTCGTTAATCAGGAGAGTGATTCATCTTTTTCGGAAAAATTTTTTATAACTCGTATATTATATAACAGTTATATTGTTTGTCGAGTAAGAAATTATAACTAACATGTATGTTACATGTAACATTGTGTTTGTCGGGATTACAATAAATATCAAATTTATATGACGCGAACAATACAACCTGATCTGAACACCACATAGCGCGCGCTTCACGGGCGCCACTTTAGCTTTTTCGTTGTATATATATATATATATATATATTTACAATTTATATTATAATATTCGTTTTTACAAATTATATTCCCACCAAACAATGTTACATGTAACTAACATGTATGTTACATGTAACATTGTGTTTGCTGGGATTACTATAAATATCAAATTCATATGGCGCGAACAACACAACCTGATCTGTCACCGCGGCTGACAGCTGCAAGCGACACGAATTCAACTGCGACGGGATCGAGACAATCGAGACGATCGAGACGGCCAATTAGCGTCGCGGAAAAGAGGCTTCACCCACTTCGATACATTCGAGATTTAGTTAACACGCTTTTCTGATAGGATTAAATCTGCGCAGTAAAACTTACGTATACGCAACTATTTCAAGAATAGGAACCTTGGTCACTAGGAAGCTGTGGATCCTCCTTCGGTGGTCGAGGGGCAGCATATTCGAACAGCGTCCGGCGTAGTCAGATTATAGGTGGGACCCGATTGACCACGATATGATTGGACACAGATTGTAATGATTGGTTCGACTTAGTAATTCACTAGATAATTCTTTTCATCGGTTGGTTGTGTCCAATCGTACCGTGGTCAATCGGGATGCTCCCTCAGATTATAATGCGCACTACTATAGATTTTTATCGCGTTTCCACCTCGGCTATCGATAAATCTTGAAGAAGTATGCAGCGGATGTGGAGGAAAAGGAGGAATGATATTTAAAGAAAGAAATTATGGATATACGTTTATATATATATAAGTTTATTTAAACTCTATTTTAACAGTAAATCTATATTCTATCTCGCTAAAACATTTATGTGTGTATGAAAAACAGCTAATCTTAATATTATTAAATTCTAGTTTTTACAATCCAATTTATGAGTTAAATGAATTGTACTAAAGTTAGAAGGGATGTCTATTAACGGATACTAGATTTGGAAGTTGATAGATTATGAGTTGGGATGGAAATAGAATAAGGGTGAACCTATAGCTTTCCAGCCGCACCTGGAGGCTTAAAGGCCAAATCACACTAACGATTGGCGATAGATGATTAACGATTGAAAATTGGATCTTGGCCAGTTGGAACAAAGCAAACCAAGGTTGAAGCTTGTTAATTCGTTAAAATCTAATCTTTAATTGTCAATCGTCAATCGCCAATCGCTAGTGTGATTTGGCCTTAAGAGGCGAGGTGTGACTGTGGTTGATTAAGCGCGATTTTCTAGATCTGCTCTTTGAGGATCTAGCTATAATGGAAACTAGGCAAACTTTCATTAGGATTTTGTTTTCCAAAAAGTATGATAAGAGGAGCGATGAAGCAAAAATTAGACTCCAGGGCAGCGATCACGTAACTTCGAGCGGAACTTTTCACTTTTCGCTCTATCGATTTCACGTGAACTTTTTCATTGTTCACGCAATCAAATAACTCTATACGTGAAAAGCACAAATCACTAATCATGGTTCTTATATGATTTCAATATACATTTTCGCATGCGTATCTCATTCGCATACTGTCAAGAATCGAGCCCCTGATCTGCTCCTGTGTTCACGAGACTGCAAGAGCAGGAGCAAGAGTAGACGATAGAATATTACAGTTATAGATGGAAGATTATACTATTCTCTCGGATATCCAGATCTCTCGTTTTACTCTCGTTATCGTAAGCACCCAAGTTTACGTGAAAAGTTTCACGTTTCTACGTTTCGTCTAGTTTAGTGATCACGAGTTCACGTGAAACTTTTCACTTTTTCCGTTTCGCCCTAGGGGGAAAGTTACATGATCGCTGCCCATAATGGGGAAGAACAGAGTCCGGTTTTCGTGAGGTTGGACAAAGTGAGAAAATATTATTTCTCTCAGTTAGTCGGACGTGACAGTGGCAAAACAAAAACAAAAAAATCTTATTCAAATTAACTTATTAATTAAACAAACAAAATAAATCAAATTATTGATAATTACACCAACAAGTTTGATCAAACGGATAACCACACGTTGACTTTTTCTGAAAATGAGAATACAGATCGTAATTTTAAAAATCGTAGTTCTTTTGTAAGGGTGCTTTCCAGTTGCGTACACTGTGTTACACAAAACCAGTTTATTGGTTGCATATTATCTTACAAGATATTTTAAATAATATGTGACCAATAAACTGGTTTTGTGTACGTGTTGTCAAGATGTGTTAAGCAATTGGAAAGCACCCTAAGTCTATCAAATAATAATTCTTTATGGCTCCGATAATTACCAAGATGGCCTCTCTCATTCTTGTCTGTTCTCTCCAGTTTCTATAGAACGCACATTGCTTTTTGAAATGTCTCAAAGGCATATATGTTACTGGAAGCTTTCCTGAAGCACACCAAGATAATTATTTAATCTTACACAATCAAGACTTCTCAAATATTTTTAATAAGACTGGCTAATTGAATAGAAATTCCCGGTCATACTGGGATAATGAGGAACATACAACTTACCGAAAGTGATCAGTTGTATTGCCGGATGCACCTTATATTCATCTGTTACAACAATTTGTGTTCCCGAAATATAAATTTTTAGTACCATTTTACTAGGTTCATTATCACGAATTACTTTAGCAACTTTGAAAATATTGTTTGTAATCCTACTACAAAAGGAAAGATCTAGTAGTTGTAATTGAGGTGAGGATACAAGAATTTCGCATATCCCATTGTCTGTTATGTTTTCACATCCACTACACTCCAATCCTTTTAGGTTCTTTAGGTTTTTCAAACCATTATCGGTAATTCCAAGCACAAAACTAATATTTAAATATTCTAATTTTGGTAATGTTGCAATAGTTCTTAGTGCAGTATCGTCACAAACGGAGCTACCTAAAATCATTTCGAATGAGAAATCATACGTTTGAAATATTTAGAACATTCATATAGGATTCATACTGCGTCCGATGTCCGACGTACGACGTCTAATATCCAATAGGAGAACAACTTTCTAATATAAAATTCAATTCTCCATTGGAAAACTATTTTTTTATTGAATATTAAACGTCGTACGTCAGACGTCGACGCGGTGTGAATCCTGCATAAAATGTAAAAGGTATACGGTATGATAATTTACCAGAAATATCTAGAGAAATAATCTGTTGACAATTCATTGCTATCTCAGTGAAATGGTGGGGTAAAAATGGAAAGTATGTCATTTTTAGTGTTTCCAAGTTAATAAGATTAGTAAATTCTGACGCAGCCGCTTTTTGTGGAAACATTTTGTATTGGTGAATTTGTAATATTTTTAGCTTTTTGCAATATTTGTTGATAGTTCTCATTATTTCATTACCAACAGTAGAACAAGTTATCTCAAGATGTTCTAAATTTTCAAGCTTTGCCAATCCCTATATTGAAATATAATTAACGTTATGTACACATTTATATCAACCAATTGTTACAAAAAGAAAAATTAAAAAGAAAGATTTACCTGAGAAAATATAATATCGTCAATGTTCCAGCAACATCTTAATATAAGAGTGCGCATTGTCTGGGCTGGCAAATATGATAGACATTTACCCTTAAAGTCATAATTATGAAATATTTGCAAATAGTTGAGCTGTGAAAATTCTTGGAAAAATATTTTTTGTTCATCTAACTCGTAAGACACTCCCAAAGTAAGCCTAGTTATTTTTTTACATTTGCCCATAAAGAATTGATCATTTTTTTCAATTGTTGCAGAAACATTAATATTAGTAAGATTGGAACAATATTTCATGACTGTTTTAAATACTTTTTCGTTAAAATTTAATATAGTGTAACCTGTCATTGTTACTGGATGGGACAGATGTAATTCTGTTATAAATTTGCCATATCTTGGTAACATTTTCTCCATTTTCATCAGTATAATTTTAGTGAATCGATGATATCTTACAAAATCTGGTAATTCGTATGTCCATGAAGTATCTATCTCCTTCATTGTATACCAAGAATCTTGACTTAATATTTTCCAACGTTTGCACACTACAAAAATAGTAAAAGTGCTTTTCAATTGCTTAACACATCTTGACATACACGTACAGGGTGAATATTATATACCGGAACACTTGAATATCTCGAAAACAAAGCGTTGTATAAAAAAATGTTAAATACAAAAGTTGTAGAGTTTAAAAAGATCTATTTTATGATATTAGCAGTTTGACCTTGAGTTGCGTCATAAAGATCAGGTCAAGGTCACAATGATGTTTTTAAATGGATACCCCCATTTTTTATTATATATTCTTGTAGCTTATCTCGAGAGCTTTCCAAAACACTATACTTAAGTATTTTTTCGTTAAGTACTTTTCGAGTTAAGAGGCTTCAAAGTTACGCTCTTTAGCATTAGCGCGCGGCCGATTAAGGCAAGAGGAAAATCATATCCGGCCGATTAAGGTAAGCTAAGGCAGAGAAAAACGTAAACACAAGCGCGGTAAACGAGAGCTGCCCTTGCGTTTACGTTTTTTAGGCCATCAGCCTTACGCTATTTACTATTAATACGAGCGCGCGTTCGTGCTCGTCACTACGGTATCCACGCGCGCTAATGCTAAAGAGCGTAACTTTGAAGCCTCTTAACTCGAAAAGTACTTAACGAAAAAATACTTAAGTATAGTGTTTTGGAAAGCTCTCGAGATAAGCTACAAGAATATACAATAAAAAATGGGGGTATCCATTTAAAAACATCATTGTGACCTTGACCTGATCTTTATGACGCAACTCAAGGTCAAACTGCTAATATCATAAAATAGATCTTTTTAAACCCTACAACTTTTGTATTTAACATTTTTTTATACAACGCTTTGTTTTCGAGATATTCAGGTGTTCCGGTATATAATATTCACCCTGTATTTAAAACCAGTATATAAAACCAGTTTATTGGTCATATATATATATCTAAAACATCTTGTAAGATAATTTGCAACCAATAAACTGGTTTTGTGTAACACAGTGTACGCAAAACACTCTAAATAAATAGTGCTCTAAGTAAATAGTGCAAACATATCGTAATTATATATATATATATATATATATATATATATATATATATATATATATATATATATATATAT